ATTTTCACAGATAAATTTCACATTCATCTGGTGACCTGTAACTTGCAAGGACCATAACTTGATTTCTACAAATCTTCTTGAAGACTTATAGTACTCAAATTAAAGATATTGATATGCTCTACAAGTTTCATGTTGGCCAAAGATCCATTTGAGACTTGCATCTTGACTTGTGTGGCTTTGAAGTTAGGCACTAAACAGGGTGATTTGCACTGAAACCCTAATTTAGCAACTCCCTACACTCTTGATTCCTTTTGATTTGACCTTGGCACAACACCACACATGTATCAACATACCAATCCATGAACTCCATGACCTCTAAGTAGGCTTTGACATCCTTTAATTGCACATTTGACCTAGGGTTGACCCAGATGAAACCCTAGTTGACTGCACTTCAACTGTGGCTCTTGTACTTGAATCACTGGCTTGACTTAGCTTCAATATGGCCCTCTAGGCATTCCATAATCTTTATACACCTTTCAAATTCACAAACCATGCCTCACACCCCATTGATGATCCTCAATACACCTCAAGTTAGGAGAGAAATCCACCTGTGGGCACTCAAACTTCTCATGACTTCAACCCATCTCTTGATGACTTGGAGGGTCTCTCAGGCTTGGATAGAATCCCTTGCTAGGCTTCTTTTGATATAAATGGCACTTTATCCCTTGTTGGATGACTTAACATGCTATGATATGAAAATGATTGGACTATGTACATGATGTAACTATGCAAATGACAATGCAATTGAAACATAAACCAGGTGAAATAGGTTGGGCAAATTTTAGGGTGCAACACCTATCTTTTCCCTTCTGAGCATTCTTCTACTTATCATAAGTAGAGGTTTCTGACTTTTGAACACCATAAGATATTCTTCTGGCTTCTGACCAAGACTATTTCTGATGCTTCTTGTAACACCCTTTTCTACCCCACGAATATTATGGCAAAATAATAGAATTTATCAGAGTAAAATTTTAAACACCATAAAAATCACCTCAAAGGGCGTATATTTTTCAACAAATTCAAATCAAAGTCAATGCTCCGTAAGCAACATGTTTTCTCAAAATTACTCAAAAGTGCTCAAATGGCAGCGGAACTCAAAAAAGTAAAAATCTAAAGTTTTCCTTTTACCGCAAGGAAATCAACATAACGAAAACTCAATAAAATAGTTTGACTCAAAGACCCTAACCCGATGTTAGACTATCAGAGCAAGACCCTCCAAGTCAACCACAATGGCCAACGACCCAAAAAATTCAAAACTCCTCGACGACATCCACGACTAAACCTGGTCATCTGCATGTTACACACGTTGAGGCAACATTCAAAAAGGCAGGGTGAGTAAAATGATTCATAATAATCAATATAAGAATCAATATATAAAATGACGTCATTTTCATATTCAACATCATCATAATCATCAAGGAACATCAAAGACCACAACATTATAAATTACACCAATTGTCACATAAATGCAAATGCAACAAGACTCGTGCATGTGGTACCAATCAAAAAAATTCAATGGACACTGGGCCATCAACCCTTCATAGATCTACAACAATAGGATCGATTCTACACAAGAACCAAAGCATAACAAAATAACTCACATTCGCACAATGGGACTAAAGCCACAAGAATTAAGGTCGTGAACCAAAGTTCGGAACGCACATGAGTGCATGATGCACACGTCAATATCATCCTCATAATAATATCATTAGGTGCATCATCATTCATCAAAATAATCATAAAAATCATGTCATCATAGAATCATCAAAACCTCATGGAATCAACGTCACAAATCATCACAGTTCTTCATGGGAATTCATCATGAAATCATGTATTAATCTCATAAGAATCAAAATTATACTCATGGATACTCATCATGCAGTCATGTATTAGTCACATAGGAATCACATATATACTTATAGTAATTCGTCATACATTCATTTAATCACATATGAATTACAGTTATACTCATAGTAATTCATCATACATTCATTTAATCACATAGGAATCACAATTATACTCATAGTAATTCATCATACATTCATTTAATTACATATGAATCACATTTATACTCATAGTAATTCATCAAGAAAATCACAACATCAAAGCATCAAAATAACATTGCATAAGAACATAAGTGACTTCCCAAAAATATTAGATATAAAAATATTAGGAAACCAATTCTCTTATCTATACCATGTTATAGCTCTGTCCATTAGCTTTCCAATGCTTCAAATGGGGATCAAAACGTACTTAGGGATCAAAAGTTACGTCCAAAACGATTTCGACCAAAAATATGAACAGCCGTGACAGACAACATGCAGAATTTTCTGCGTTTTTCACCGTTGGAGGCCTTCCGGACCTCCGATTTTGATTCTGTAAAAACCCAAACTCTCAGAAAATTACAACCCATTCAACACTATAATTATCTCAAGTAAATTTACAATTTTAACACAATTAAACTATCTAATCATTGTTTTAAGATTATGCCTAAAACCTTTAAAATTAAGGGATATATGTTCAATCTCGTATCATATTTACGCATCTAATTCCCATAATTTCTTACAAATACCCCATAGTCATTAGAGTTATCACAAATCACTTATTCTATAGGGTTAAACAATCTCAACAAAAGATTTTGACCACGAAGGCCTAATTTTCTTTCCTCTCAAATCAACCTCAAACCTACAAGACCATCATTTCAAATCCCTATACGGTTAAAACCTCAATAATAGATTTTGGCTTTCATTTATCTCAAAACCTCTTAAATCCTTAAATTAGCTTTAAATACATTGCATCACATATTGAAAATAATGAAGGCAATGTCCATTTTGGAAACCTCGCGAAACTTTTGCCTTAATCCTCTTCCTCAGAGCTCTGGCCTCTATTTCTTCCCTTTTCACGGTCTAACAAGAATGAATCCTAATACTCTCAAAATTCCTTTTTGTTAAACCTAACTTTGGGCCTTAAAATTGGGCTTTCCAACTTCACCCTCACTAACTCCTCCTCAAATGTCCATTTTGACCTTAATTCACTTATATTTATTTAAATTAATAATAATACCAATATATTTATGTTATATACTATTATTTAAGTAAATAACTCAAAATCCATAATTCTCAATACTTCATACCAACCACCGCAAATCACCAAAAATACGAATATTCTTATTTAAAAAAATTAAATAAATATTCCAATAAATTTGGGGTGTTACACTTCTGATCAGAAACTGTTTTTAGAGCCGCTACTCTACTTCCCTTTCAGAAGTTCTCTTAGACAGACACAACTCTTGTGTCTCTAGACTACTTTACAACTCTTCAATTCTCATGGTGCTCAAATCTTTATAATATTCTATTGCTACCACAATGTAATCAAAATGAGGGGGTAAGGGATCTCAATACTTTCTCAATGATTACTTATTTAGAGAGGGTTTCTCCATAAGTTTTCATCTCATTAGCGATCATAATCACTCTGAAGATGTACTCAGATACATTCTCATTGTTCTTCATGTTGAGATTCTCATACTTCTTTCATAGGGACTGAAGCTTCACCTTATTCACTGATGCGTCACCACCGTAACACCTGACCAGTGTATCCCACGCAACCTTCACCGCCGTTGAATCAACGCTTTTCTCAAACACATTTGCATCCACACACTGATGAATGTAGAACAATGTTTTATGATCTTTCTTCCCCATATCTTTCTGCGTGATATTTTGTTCCTCCATTGTATTTGCTGCTACTGAAACATAACCTTCAGCGACAAGATCAAGCACATCTTGAGCACCGAACAATACACGCATCTAAATCATCCAACGACTCCAGATTTTTCCATCAAACACCGGAAGCTTTGTGCTCAGACCATCGTTTCTATTCATCTTCAACCTTGTGCAATCACTCAGATCTCACCAAACACAGTGTTTCCTAATTCCGCAGAATCAGAAAATGTGATTCTCTTACGATTTCGTTCAAGATTCAACACAAATTCAAGAAACAAAATCAACCATACAACGTCTCACTGTTTTACTTGTGTTTCCCGTGTTTCCCTATGGATCCGAACCGGAACTCTAGATACCAATTGTTGGTGCGCAAGTTTAAAAAAGATGAATAAAATAAGAGAATATGTTTTATATTCTGTAAATGACGACTATAAAGTTGTAAGAAAGAATTACAAAATGACATCTACCACTAGTCTATTTATGCACAGAAAACTAGGACCACATAAACAACATACTAAAATACTAAATTATCCTCTGACAAAGCTTAGTCACTAAATTTTTATAAAATATAAATTTTTTCTAACAATAATATGTTATTATAAACCATAAGAAAAGAAACCATTACACCATTCAAGTTAAAAAAAATGTCATTGGAGTATTACCATATATCCATCAAACTACATATATCCATCAAACTACTGAGCATATAGTTGCTATGAAAAAATTCAATTAAGTTTTTCAATTGATCTTAATTTTTAATTGTTGAGATTTCATATCTCAAAAATATTAGTTGATTTCACATGACAATTTATAGTGGCATAATAGGAAAATTGATTTTATTTTCTGAAATAACCTTGTTACAGTGATATTTAGATTGGAAGATAGTGTTCTTAAAAATTGAGATTAGAGATGGATTTTCTTTTTCTTTTCTAAAGAATATTCAATTTTGTTAGTAAAGTAAAAACATATATTCATTTTATTTAAATACGTCATCAAAATAAAGTAAAAAAAAAGTAATTGCCACATCAGCATTCATGAAGTGGATTGATAGTTAATTAATGAGTAAGTGGGAAATAACTTCCACTTTTAAATCCTTATACACTTTTTCTTTTGAATTTTTTTGTGTGGCTATTTTTTTTAATGAATAAAATTGGAAGAGAAATTATAAATAATGCACGGTGATAGATCGAAGTCGTGAAGAAGGGTATCATCGATTGTTCAATGACTACTTCTCTGAAAAATCTTGTATACACGGAGGCTCAATTCAGACGAAGGTTCCGTATGCGAAGACATGTGTTCCTTCACATTGTTGAAGCTCTTGGAAATCATGATGAGTACTTTCAAAGAAGGATTGATGCAGTGGGTAGAATGGGTCTTTCACCATTGCAGAAGTGCACAACTGCTCTTCGTATTCTAGCATATGGATCACCAGTTGACAGTGTGGATGACTATGTTCGAATTGGAGAAAGCACGACATTGGAGTGCTTAGACAGGTTTATAATAGGCGTGTGCACAATATTTGGTGCTCAATACATGAGAAGGCCAAACAATGAAGACATTGCACGCCTACTACAAATTAACGCGGCACGCGGCTTTCCAGGTATGTTGGGTTCAATTGATTGTATGCATTGGGAATGGAAAAATTGTCCCGTCGCATGGAAAGGTCAATTTTCTAGAGGTGATCATGGTAAACCCACAATCATGCTTAAAGCTGTGGCATCTCAAGACTTGTGGATTTGACATGCATATTTTGGAACTGCAGGTTCTAACAATGACATTAATGTGTTAAACACGTATGATGCGTTTAATGATGTTTTGAATGGAAAAGCTCATGCAGTAGAATACTCGGTGAATCGTCACTCCTATTGTTGGTCCAAGACAGAGAGCAGGTGTCCCGTCTGTATGTAGGATTGCAGTCTTGACGGGGAGACAGGGTTCGTGCTCGACCATTGAACCTGGGTGGAGGCAAACATTGAGACTCTGCTTGGTGGTCTCTTCTGGTCCTCTTGGATCGCGGGGAATGCTAGTTTCAAGGAGAGATGTGGTCACACTTTCTGATGGTCAAGGTCTTTGGCCCAAAAGGTGTCTGACAATTTCTTTCGCGTCGGGGAGGAGCACTTTGTGGCCGCTGACGTTCTTTCCTCGGTGGATGGGATCTTGGACAATGGATTCTTCTAATGCTCCAGTCCTCGCGTTCTGATTGATTATTAGGAGGTTGGTCTTGTTGAGAACCTCGAGGAGGGCCACCATGGTCGGGTCGGCGCTGGGCAGAGTTGGAACTAATAGGTGCTCCGGGACGAGTGTGACCTCATTGTGATCTGCGTGAGCAAGGGATAGATAAGTTGTGGCTCTGTCTCTTTGTCGGTGCACGTTGTCTCCATGAGAGGTGGTTGCTTCGTCAACATCATTCTTCCTGACGGGGAGGAAAACAGAGTTGCAAGCATCATGAGTTTTGTCACGGTTGGTCATGATCGAGATTTTGAAGAAATGTTTTGGTCCAGTGACCCTCTCAAGTGAGATGGTTTTTATAGTTCCCCCAGCGCTTGGTCCTTGATCCCTATTTTCGGGGCGAGATAACTGTTTCCCGAAGAATAGGTAACTGCCAGAACTAGTCGTTACGGACACATGCGTCTTGCCTATTTATGGAGGGTGAAACCGTGTGTGACGGGCAAGGAACGCCGAGGAGAAGTGCTGCGACCAAGGGTAAATTAGGCAGCCCCTCCTATTAGAGGGTCATAAAGATAAATGCTCTCCTAATTGGGTGGACTTAGGCAATTGAATCGTTCTGAGAGGAAAAGTGGATTGGGTCATGCATAGCCATTGAGACAGTCCGGAACAATAACAGTATAACTTTTATACACTTTTAGAACTAATCTGCCCTAACAAATTGGATGACTTGCACTAATAGGTTTTAACTAGCCTACTGACTCGCGGTAGCAAGAGATTTCCAATACTCAGACCGAAACTACCGAAACTTGTATGTCTCGAGTTTATAATTACTTACTACTCTAATAAGGATGACCCCTAATTTAAAATATATATATATATATATATATATATATATATATATATATATATATATATATATATATATATATATATATATATATATATTTATGTGTAATACATATAATAAGTTGTATATATAATAAAAATAAATCATACATCATTAATAATAATAATAATAACTAATAAAATTGTGAGAGAAATAAGACTCACAAATAACCTATTGTAAAAAAAAATTAAAGAATGGCTTGTGAGCGATTAGTAAAAACTAAACTTAAAAATAGAAATAGTAGTTAATTAGTGACTATGTATTAAAAGTTAATAGAAAAAGGGTTTATTAATAATAGTAATTAATTAAAAATAATAATAAATAAGAAAATTTAACAAAAAATGAATGTAGATAAATAAAATTATTCAATTAACCTTAATTTTTGCGCTAAAATTTACTTGAATCACTTAACAATTTTTATATATAAAAATAAAATCAATAAAGCTATTAATCAATTATCATTTGTCAACATATTAAAATTAACCTTTTTTTTTCTAATTGAAAAAACAAAATATTTAAATCAACAAACTAACATTCATGGGTGGAGAGGACACTAAACCTACCAATAGTATTATCAACAAGAAATGTTCACGCTTATTTAGTTGTTAAGGGGTAATTCTGGAAATTACTCCACTGAAATTCTGTTAGAAATTGTTGAAGTTGTTAAGGGGTAATTCTGGAAATTACTCCCCTGAAATTCTGTTAGAAATTGTTGAAGTTGTTAAGAGATAATTCTGGAAATTACTCCCCTGTAATTCTGTTAGAAATGGTTGAAGACGTTTTCCCTCTATATATTCTCTTTCTTCAACCTCTCTCTTTCCCATCTCTTTCTTCAACATCTCTCTACCATTCTTCATCTGTTTTTTGAAAGGAAACATCATCATCTCAACACAGCTCACTTTTCTTTCTTCTTTTACAGATTTCTTCCGGGGTTTCCTTTGTTTCTTTTTTCCTCTTTTTTCTATCATCTTCATTTCAACCTTCAGAGAGGCTGAAGGTTGAAATCAAGATGATAGGAAAAATAGGAAAGAAGAAACAAAGAAAACGCCGTAAGAAATCGGTAAAAGAAGAAAGAAAAGTGAGCTGAGATGATGATGTGTCCTTTTAAAAAACAGATGATGATTGGAATACTAGTGTTTACTATGTCTCTAAGTTTGTCAAGGATATTCTTGAGTTTGTCAAAGATTGATGAACGTTTTCTCTGTTGTCAAGAATCTGGATCGGGTTTGGAATGTTGGCCTTGCTGTATGTTATTACTCTTATTATGCCTTTATCTGTATATGTGTGTGAGTGTTGCAGTTATGATTGGAAATGAAATGAGACAATATAAACTAACTTCTGTTCTTCTCTATAAACCATAATGTAGGCTGCTGAAGGTGCATGGATCTCTGGTGCATCAAGAATCATTGGAGTTGATTTAGTTTCCAGCCGATTTGAATTAGGTACATTGCTTTCTTTGTTCCATCTAATGATTTAAGATTGTGGTCAACACAAATTCAATGACTAAACTTTGGTAATGATCTTGTTTCCAGCTAAGAAGTTTGGGGTGAATGAGTTCATGAACCCGAAAGATCATGACAAACCTGTACAACAGGTTATTGCTGAAATGACGAATGGAGGTGTAGATCGTGCTGTTGAATGTACCGGTAGCATCCAAGCTATGATATCAGCATTTGAATGCGTCCATGATGTGAGTAAACATAGTTTATTTTAATTGTTGCTAAAATGAGAATATCTGGGATGGATTAAGATTTCAAACCCGTTAAACATTTTTCGGGTGCATCAAATGAAACATGAGCATATAGATACATGAATCAATAAAAATGAAACCTGTCTAGTATCGTAAAGTGTATCTGGTTTTCTGCATTTTATTATTTTCATCCTGAAAATACGAATGGTCAAACACCTATGTTAAAAGCTTTCAGGTAATTGCCAAAGTTTAACTATGCCACTGACCTAAAAAGTTTATCAAAAAAGCCAAGCAAGTACAGATAAGTTAACTACATAATTCATTAATAACCATATTTTATATCATAAGACGAACTAGATTGTTAACCTTCCCTCAACTGGGTGTTATCTGTATAAAGTACATGATGAAGTGCAAAAAAACAGTACAAGTACGACATCTCTGCTCTTTGTAGTTAATGCTTACTGAATCAGACGATCTCAGTCAATGGAATGTATACTCGTAATATCGAAATGTGTGTGACTTTCATGGCATTTGCCTTTGCTTTGAATCACAATTACATTGAAATTATTGTGTTTTCAATACCATTATCAGAATTCAGAATCATGACTCTTTGAAGTTATTAAACTGTGGTTCATGGTTTGATAATATTCATAGGAGTAAGTTGTTATGGTTCAAGCCACAAGTGATTTTCTGCAACTGAAGGATAAGCCTGACGTTGGTTCTTACATGAAACCCCATATTATTCAGACTCTTTTTTTTTAATGTTTTAGGTACCAGAAAAAATTCATTTAATTAATAATACCTGAAAGATTGACTGCAGCTATATTTTTGTAATACTCTGTGCATTTTGAAAGCTAACCACACTGGCTGTGGCAATACTGAAGTGAATAACATATTCCTTTCTTCAAACGTATGGTGTTTTCTTTTCATGCATTTGCAGAAACTGACTGGTGGAACTCTACTTTCTAGAAATAAAGAGTATATTGTAATTTATAGGGGTAATGACTTCTTGCCTCCAGTTGTTACCAAAACCCTGACCGAGAGAGAGAAACTAATTGTTCTCCAACAAGACGAGGAAGAAAAAGCACGACAAAAGGCTTCATCTATTACTATATCAAATAGCAAATCTTCTCGAATGCCATTATTTGCTGTTACCACATGTTTCTAACTTTTTATGGTTACAGGCAAAAACAAAGTTCAGGAAGGCTGAGAAGGATTTAATCAAAATACAGGGTGATTACGATGCAGCAGACCTTCCAACTGATTTGGAGACTCTAACTAATGAAGAGAGATTTTTGTTTAGGAAGATTGGTTTGAGTATGAAGCCATACTTACTTTAAGCACATTGCGATATCTTTGGAAGCTGAGAGTGGCGGGGTGCTGGTATCTGTAGACAAAGATACCAAAGGCCATATAATAATTATTTATCGTGGGAAGAACTACTTCCGGCCACAGGTTATGAGGCCCAAAATCTTGTTAAATCGACGGCAGGCATTGGCTGGGTCTATGGAGCTTCAAAGGCGGGAGGTAATAAAGCAATAACTTCTTATAATTTGAGACTTTTACTTGTTCTTTTTACCTCATGAAGTTTCTATTTTTTTTCAGGCACTAAAACATCATATATCAGATTTACAGGAGATGATTGGCTTGCTCAAATCTGAACTTGTAAGATGTTTATCACTTCTATACAACTCTGCTTTAACTATTTTTGTATAGTTTATAAGTTTATTTGTAAGTTTTTGTTGTTGATTTCAGGAAGATATGAAAAATGAAAAGGTGTTTGATGGTGACAAAACTCTTTAATCAACACTGGACAACAACCCTGTATCGAGAAGTTAATGTTAACAGCACTGTTCTTATACCTCCTATTTTTGTCTCACTATTCTCTTTGATAAAACTAGAATGAAGAAGCGGGGCTCATTTTGACAAAGACGACAGTGATGCCATAAGAGACGGTGTTCACATTATATCATTATCTCTTGGTCCTCAATCTCCTCAAGGCGACTATTTCAATGATGCCATATCTGTGGCGTCTTTCCATGCTGCTAGACATGGAGTTCTTGTAGTAGCATCAACTGGAAATGAAGGAACTCCTGGCTCTGCAACAAACCTTGCACCATGGATCATCACTGTTGCTGCTAGCTTAACAGATAGGGATTTCACCTCTGATATCATATTATGAAATGGTGCTAACATCAAGGTAAACACAGATACGGTATTTAAACATAAATTCTAATATGTAACTCTAGGGTTGGAAAATAGAAAGACACTGCAATAACTCTTGCAGTCTGAGACGTAAACTATGATTGATTGTAATTGTTTGACAAGTTAGTAAACTATCATTAAAACAATATAAGGAGTTACTGCTCTAACAAACTGATTCTTAGAATTTATCCATTTATATACAGTTTGTAATCACAAATATTTAGTGAGAAACACATATTTATATTCCGTGTTTACATGCATTTATTTTATATTCAGTGAGAATGCGCCGACTCCATCGTCGGCTCCGACTCCATCGTTGGCTCCGACTCCCTCGGTTGCTTCGACTCCATCACCTGCTCCGAATCCATTGTCAGTGTGGGTTGCACCGGTCCACGGACTGCACCCATTTTGCGAACTGCGCCTGTGCCGCAGGCTGTACCACCATTGCAGACTACATTGTCATCTGCACCTAGGTTTTTTGTCGACTTATAAAGTTTGAACTTTAGCCTCGGTTAGGCCCAGGCTATTTTTGTTTTTTGACACGGCTTCACCGAGGCTAATGTAGACACGGCTAAACCGAGGCTAATGTAGAAACGGCTTCATCGAGTCTAAAGTAGACACGGCTAAACCGAGGCTAAATTAGACACGGCTGGACCGAGGCTACATTTAGCCACGGCTCTTCTTGCCAAGGCTAAAAGTTAGCTTCGATCGTTTTAGCCAATCCCCGACACCGACGCTAATCCGAGGCTAATTGGCTAGTAGCGGCGGTTTTTTGCCTTATAGTCACGGAAAATGGCCGAGGCTAAATACAACATTTCTAATAGTGTATAGGGGCTTTAAAAAGAAAAAATGGGATTCAAAGAAAGAAATAGGGAAGAATCTGAATGAGTTTTGTATTGTATAATGTAGGGGCTTTAAAAAGAAAAAATGGGATTCAAAGAAAGAAATAGGGAAGAATCTGAATGAAATGGAGGATGAGAGGGACAACCTATGGACAAAGATAAAAGAAATGGAAAAGAAAATTGATGACTTGAAAGCCACTCATGCGCATCTCATTGCCAAAGTTGTTCCATATAGGTAAGAAACATTATGTTTAATATATTATAATATCTTAATATGGTAAGAGGCTGGAAAGGGCGGAAGAGAAGAAGCTATTGCGCGGGAAGAAGCTATTGCGCCTGAAGAGGAAGCACGGCGATATTCTCAGATCCATTGAAAAGAACAAGAATGATGGATAGGAGATTGTTTCATTGATAGCATAGAATAAAGTACGTTGCACACGTTAACTACTTACGGACACCTTGATACATAACGAATTATGCAATAGTATATCTTACTATATAGGGTCTGAATGTCTGTATCAGATTTAATCTTCAGCAATCTGTTTCCTTTGTCTTTCAGTTTTTGATTGCTGGATTTTAATCAGTAGTATACCATACTATATAGGGTCGGAATGTCTGTATCAGATTTAGTCTTCAGCAATATGATCCCTTTGTTATTCAGTTTTTAATTGCTGGACTTTAATCAATTGTATATCATAGTATATAGGGTCTGAATGTCTGAATCAGATTTAGTCTTTTAGTTCTACATCATCCCGATAGACTTCTAGACAGAAACCTATTTTACAACTTATTCAACAATGTTACTTTTACATGATTATTGGTTGAAAGCTATGAAAACTGAGTTAGAAGCATAAGATACAAAAATACTTGGCAGTTGGTTGATAAACCATCACATGTGAAACCTATTGGTAGCAAGCGAGTCTACAATGTGAAACAGAAGCTGATGGATCAATTGAGAGATATAAGGCTAGATTGGTAGCCAAGGGTTACAACTAAATAGAAAGGTTATATTTATTTGACACTTTCTCACCTGTGGAAAAATGAACAACAATCAGAATTTTGATAACTCTACCTTCTCTTGAGAATTGGCATATTCATCAAATGGATGTTAGCAATGCTTTCTTGCATGAAGATCTGCAAGAAGATATTTACATGTCCATTCCTGATGGTGTTTTGGCCAAACCAAATCAGGCATGCAAGCTATAAAAGAGTTTGTATGGTTTGAAACAAGTAAGTAGAAAATGGTATAAAAAGCTTACTCATCTTCTCTTACAAGAAGGATATCATCAAACTACCTATGATTACTCTTATTCACTCTAAAAAATGGAAGCAGTTTTACTGATCTTCTAGTATATGTTGATTATATCATCATAGCTGGCATTTCTCTTGCAGAATTCACTATAATCAGAAACATTCTAGATAAAAACTTAAAAATAAAAGACCATGGCATCCTTAAATACTTTATAAGATTATAGGTAGCTTAATCTAGAATAGGCATATGCATTTCTCAAAGAAAATATTGCTTGGATCTTCTTGAATCATCTAGGCTCCTTGGATCAAAATTGACTAGTACTACTCTTGATCCTTCCTCAAAATTCCATCTGTATAACGGTAAACCTTTTAAAGATATTTCAACATATATAAGACCCATTGGCAAACTTATATATCTTAACACCACCAGACCTGACATCACTCTAGCCACACAACAACTTAGCCAATTTCTGAACTCTCCAACCATCACTCATTTTGAAGATTCTTGTAGAGTGATGCGATACTTGAAACAAAATCGTAACAGAGTCCTCATGTTCCCTAGAAGTTCTAATACTCAAATTGGAGGTTATATGGATGCAGACTGGACAAGATGTTTTGATTCATGAAGATAAACAACTGCTTTCCTTTTCTTTCTAGGAAATTCACTCATTTCATGGATAACGAAGAAACAACCAACTATCTCAAGGTCGTCTTCAGAGGCTGAGTATCGAGCTCTATCAAATGCCACATGTGAACTACAATAGCTTTTGTATCTCTTAAAGGATTTAAGCATTACATGTGACAAACAACCTGTACTATATTGTGATTCCCAAAGCGCCATAGACATTGCTTCAAATCCATTTTTTCATGAGGACAAAGCACTTGAAGATTGATTGCCATTTTAAAAGAGAAAAGGTCCAAAAGAATGTTCTTATGTTGTAAAAAATATCCACTCAAGAGCAGCTTTGAGATTTTTTTAACAAAAGCACTGGCTCCACCGAAATTCAAGACATTTGTATCCATGCTTGAAATGATAGATATTTATTATGATCAAGCTTGTTAGAGGGTGTTAAATGACAATATACAAAATGATCAAAGTTTCTCAAAAGTAAAGGAGATGCATGTCACATGATAAGTATGATGTAATAGGGTTACTTGCTCCATAAGCTATTACAATTAGTTGTAACTGTCATAACAAAATTTTAAAATTATGTTATGATTAACCCAATGCGTGCACGCGTATGGTAGTAATAGTGTAAATTCATGTTGAATATATAAATCATTGTAATCACATTATGAGAATCAAGTTGCACTAATATACATTGCTTCTTCTTCACCTTTCTTCTTTTTAAGCTTTCACCATGGTGTTTCCGTGGACTTTTCATTCTCTCAACAATGACGAAAGGAAAAGAAGAAGAAGCAGCTCTACAGACGAAGTGTTTACTAGTATTTTCAGTAGATTAAATAACAAGTTTTAGTTCACTTAATTTATTAAACTCAAAAAGTCTAAGGACAATTTGTGCAGAAAAGTACGACAAAAAGTGTTTGTGCTTGGGACTTTGATGTTTGGATGTCGAAATGTTGGACATAAACTGTAATTGAAATAATATAGATGTGTTTTGAAAGAAGAAAGTAAACAAAAAGCATAATAAATGTCATAAAGTAAATGTTTGAATTTAAAAGACTTAAACAAAGGATCTGGTTCATACGTCTTTTCACAAACCGTTTCTCTTGGTAATATGGATACTTTAATTCTATAGAGAATAAATAAGAATTGCAACCCCGATTACATTAATGAACTTGATTTATATACTAATCTAATGTTAACCATTGATAACGGTTACTCCTTAAGCGTTTGACACAAATCTTACTACGCGGACTTCCAATTTCTAATGCATTTTCACGTGTTTCTGTCTTTGAAACTTCCTCTAACTACTGTCTCACCATTCAAAAACCATTTTTACAACCTTAAACTTCTTCTGCCTAGGGATACCTTAGTCGAATCCTATGAATCCTATGGTGGTGTTGAAATACCTTCAAAT